CGCCCCAAAAGATCTTCCCCTGCCTGCCCTGCCTGTCACCAGCTTGTCACAGCACCACGGGAAGCAGGTCCCCAGGCTGGCAGCATGGGCTGGCACGGGTCAGCTGCCTGGCTCCAGGACACTCAGCTCCCCAGCACCTGCAGCCCCTTCCCACTCCTCATCCCTTGTAGGTCCTTTGGTGGGACATCAGGAAGCTGTCTGAGCCCACCGAGACCCTGGTCTTGGACATCACAAGGAGAGGGCTCCTGAAGGAAGCTCTGGGTGCCGTCTCACTGGAGTTTGAGCCCACCATGGTGAGCCCCAGTACCCTCACCTGGGCAGGGGGTGTGAGCTGAGCCGGGTGGGCAGTGCCTGGTCACCTGCATGGGCAGAGCTCCCGGGGCACGGCCCATGCCCAGGGTGACCCAGAGCACCATGCTGCAGCTTGCAGCACATCTCACCCATCTTTAATAATTAGGAGTTGACGTTCTCCCAAAACACAGGGTCTTGCTGACATTTCAGTCTCTAAATCCCCCAGACCGTGGTGGGTCCCAGGGCTCTGTTGTCCCCAGGTGCTGGCTGCCACCAGCTCCCCCCTTGCTGCCCCACTGCCCCCAGCACAGTGGGGTCTCCAACCTGCTGACAGCTGCTCTCTCCTGCTCCCACCCACAGCCCACCAAGTTTATGGTGGGCACAGAGCGGGGCATCATCATCGCCTGCAACCGCAAGGCCAAGACACCAACCGAAAAAATCACCAGCACCTACAGTGGCCACCACGGAGCTGTCTACGCCCTGGCCAGGAACCCTTTCTTCCCCCAAATCTTCCTGACAGTTGGTGACCGGACTGCTCGGATCTGGTCAGAGGAGATCAAGGAATCCTCAATCATGTTGACCAAGTAGGTGTTGGCATGTGTCAGTTTGCCCTGCAAAAACATCTTCTTTTTTGTGGCAGAGCGTGTTCGGGGCTGATGACCAGAAGGGTCTGGTCTGCTGAGGTTGGGTGGGAGGTGGTGGGACAGTCACCAAGATGGGCACTGGAACAGAGGGTGCCCTGGCCTGGGCTCTTGGCTGAAGGTGCTGCACAGGCAGTGGCCATGGGGCCAGCAGGATGGAGGCCACGAGCCCATCCCCGCTGCATCGGGTCTGCTGGCAGGTACCACCTCTCCTACTTGACAGACGGGTGCTGGAGCACGAGGTTGGGTGGGAGGTGGTGGGACAGTCACCAAGATGGGCACTGGAACAGAGGGTGCCCTGGCCTGGGCTCTTGGCTGAAGGTGCTGCACAGGCAGTGGCCATGGGGCCAGCAGGATGGAGGCCACGAGCCCATCCCCGCTGCATCGGGTCTGCTGGCAGGTACCACCTCTCCTACTTGACAGACGGGTGCTGGAGCACCGTGAAGCCGGCCGTGTTCTTCACCACCAGATCAGACGGGACCCTCGATGTCTGGGACTTCCTCATCAAGCAGAAGGACCCTTCCCTCAGCCTCAAGGTTGGATCCCACAGCAGCTCCAGGTCCCTCAACCCTGAGAGGGGAGCGGGGGGTCCTTGGCAGATCTGCCCTGCCTGGAGCGGGCAGAGCCAGGGGACGGAGCTGGGGACAAGCTCCACCAAGCAGCAGCTGTCCCCTCTGCCCTGAGCTCTGCCCAGAGCCCAGTGTGCCCAAAAACGTGCACGTGGGCTCCTGTTATTGACAACCACGTGGATTT